TTTTAAAACAATTTCATTTATTTATTCATGAGACATAGAGATGTAGGCAGAGGGAGAAGCAGACTCCATTCAGGGAACCCGATGTGGGACTCCATCCCAGTACTCCAAGACCATGCTCTGAGCTGAAGGCAAATGTGCTTAACCACTGAGCCACCCAGGTGTCCTGTGTATTCACCGTTAGTCATGAGACTAACAAAGCAACCAGATCTTTGTGTATTAGTGAATATCAATTCTGAAAGGTACTAGCATATAATGGAGTTAAAATTTAAGAAGAGCATGGATGTTATCTAATGGTAATTTGTAGCTATTTTGTATTTTATGATTAAGTTTTATGATATAGTGAATTTTAAAATAAGTCATAGTACATGTATAAGATACAGTGAACAGTTATTCTTTTTTCTCAGCACTAAGTACATGAATTTCAGACACCCAAATAGAAAACACAAAACTAAATTCATGTAAGACAGGGAATACTTTATTCAAACCCATCAGAGAAATGGACAGCTTGGGTCTGTAACAAAGCGTCGTGTTTTAAAGCATAGGTCAGTAATTGTATATGAGAGTATACACTGCTACATACAAATTAACTGATCAGAGCACAACTTTTCAATTTTCAAAACAGAATAAGCTTCCCTGTAAAAGCAGCACCTTTGTGACATTTTTAACTTTAGTATTCCTCTCCTTCTTCTTCACCCTCTCCTTCAACAGAATCCACACCAACCTCTTCATAATCCTTCTCCAGGGCAGCCATGTCCTCACGGGCCTCAGAAAACTCTCCTTCCTCCATGCCCTCACCCACATACCAGTGAACAAAGGCACGCTTGGCATACATCAGGTCAAACTTGTGGTCCAGGCGAGCCCAGGCCTCAGCAATGGCTGTGGTGTTGCTCAGCATGCACACAGCTCGCTGTACTTTGGCCAGGTCTCCACCGGGTACCACAGTGGGAGGCTGGTAGTTAATGCCCACTTTGAAGCCAGTGGGGCACCAGTCCACAAACTGGATGGTACGCTTGGTCTTGATGGTGGCAATGGCAGCGTTGACATCTTTGGGAACCACATCACCACGGTACAACAGGCAGCAAGCCATGTATTTACCATGGCGAGGGTCACATTTCACCATCTGGTTGGCTGGCTCAAAGCATGCATTGGTGATCTCTGCTACAGAAAGCTGTTCATGGTAGGCTTTCTCAGCAGAGATGACAGGGGCATATGTGGCCAGAGGGAAGTGGATGCGGGGATAGGGCACCAGGTTGGTCTGGAACTCTGTCAGATCCACATTCAGGGCTCCATCAAATCTGAGGGAAGCAGTGATGGAGGACACAATTTGACCTATCAACCTGTTTAGATTAGTGTAGGTTGGGCGCTCAATATCGAGGTTTCTACGACAGATGTCATAGATGGCCTCGTTGTCTACCATGAAGGCACAATCAGAGTGCTCCAGGGTGGTGTGGGTAGTGAGGATGGAGTTGTAGGGCTCTACTACAGCTGTGGACACCTGGGGGGCAGGGTAGATGGAGAACTCTAGCTTGGACTTCTTGCCATAATCGACAGAGAGACGTTCCATCAGCAGGGAGGTGAACCCAGAACCGGTTCCCCCTCCAAAGCTGTGGAAAACCAAGAAGCCCTGAAGACCCGTGCACTGGTCAGCCTGTTAGAAAAAAGGAATAGAGAAAACCTATTACTGCTCTTTGCAATATCATCATAAGTAAATAGATTTCCACTTTTCATACAACTCCAACAATATAGATCTTATTTTGACAAGAAATGCTTTTAAATACATGTAGGCCTTCCTAGACTTCCTAAGCATTTTTTTTAAATTTTTATTTATTTATGATAGTCACAGAGAGAGAGAGAGAGAGAGGCAGAGACAAAGGCAGAGGGAGAAGCAGGCTCCATGCACCGGGAGCCCGATGTGGGACTCGATCCCGGGTCTCCAGGATCGCGCCCTGGGCCAAAGGCAAGCGCCAAACCGCTGTGCCACCCAGGGATCCCCTTCCTAAGCATTTCTTAATTAAAAATATCTTCATTAACATTTGTAAAACAGCACCCAAGTAGTTCATGTTTCAATTTAATTAAAAAAAAAAAAACTAAAGGAGTAGTTCACCTCATTCTATTACATTTCAATTCTGCATTTGAAATGAAAAACAAAACAAAACAAAACATCGTAACTCAAATGTCTTCCTTCGGATCCTTATTTACTTTATTCTTGAGAATAAACATACCAGTTTCCGAATTCGGTCCAAGACAAGGTCAATGATCTCCTTGCCAATGGTGTAGTGCCCTCGGGCATAGTTATTGGCAGCATCTTCCTTGCCTGTGATGAGCTGCTCAGGGTGGAAGAGCTGGCGGTAGGTGCCAGTGCGAACTTCATCTGGAAAAGGAAAACAAGGTGGCCACCCATCACTAACAACCTGCATGACCCTGCTCAGCCCCAGGCTGTGTGTCAATGGAGCCTCAGACAGACCTCCTGTCCAGTCCCGGTAGCTCACTTGGGTTACTGAGGCCAACTCACCAATGACTGTGGGCTCCAGGTCTACAAACACTGCCCTGGGCACATGCTTGCCAGCGCCCGTCTCACTGAAGAAGGTGTTGAAGGAGTCATCTCCTCCCCCAATGGTCTTGTCACTTGGCATCTGGCCATCGGGCTGAATGCCGTGTTCCAGGCAATAGAGCTCCCAGCAGGCATTGCCGATCTGGACACCTGCCTGGCCAACGTGGATCGAGATACACTCACGCTATGGGAAGGAAAAGAGGAAAATTGTAAATTAGGTTATGGTAGCATTTTGAATTTTTAGTTAATTTTTGAAAATATTTCTAATAATATACAGATATTCTTCAGGTTTAGTTGAGATTATCCCTAATTCAATAGAAATGATTAAGGAAAGCACCTGCTACAAATGCTGCAGATGGGTGTGGTCTGAATAATAATGTTGCACTGTTTCGCACATGTGCAAGCCCATTGTTTCCAGTCATGCTTAAATAGAAATTTTTTTTATTTAAAAATATTTAAAGCACAGATTTTGTAAAATGAAGCAAATTAAATTTAATCATTAATTAGTTGGAATCAATATTACTATTCTTGCCCCTTTAAATAAGAGTTTCTTCTACATATGACTTGGTATTTTAACATGGACATCTGTGCTGCAGCTGAAGCTAGATGCCACACCCCTTTGCAGTGTATCTGCAGAATCCATTAGTACTAGGGGATGGAAGCTAACAAGGTCTGCCTCCTGCACTGCTGCATTGCTGCATTTGCTGTGCCTGGTACTAGCCTGTTCTGTCTGCTACATTATTTAACAGAGTAAGTTCTATTTCCAGAAACTGCCTACATGATCTCATTGTGCTATTAGCCAGTTTTCCTTCTGTGACCCGGGCTGGGACCATATGCCTAAATTGAAATGAATTAATGTAGATTCACTAGAACAAAAGACAGCTGAACAGAGAGTACATAGTTCTTTGTCTGCAGCATTTTCATTACTTAAAAAGATGTCCTTCCAGAATCTTCTCCACTGCAAAATAAAAAAAAAAACCCTGAAAAAATTATTAGAATCTTTAAAACAATAGTTCCTAAATTAGAAAAGTATCAGAGGACCTACCTAAGAATAAAAGCTCAGTGCAAGGATAATGAAATATTTATTTAAAATAACAAAATAGTATTTTCATTCTGAGATTCTCTACTCACCACAGAATAGTTCTACTCATCACGTTCAATAAGAGATTTTCTTCCCTATAGTCTTACGGCTACAGCTTCCATTGTCTAGCCATTGTCTATTCACTGACATTTGGGCGGGGGCTGGGGGCGGGGGGTGGGGAAGGGCGTTTCCCTGGGTCCTGGGCAGTAGGGTACCCTGGCTCTCAAAGTGAGCTTTTTCTCTTGTTGGACGTGCGGCTAGCACACAGACACACACACACACACACACACATACACACACACACACACACACACACACACACACAGTCGGGGCGGAGTCACCCCAGACCAGACTTTAAAGGGCTTGTGAAGAGAACTGTGATTTTGCATCTCAAGAAAGTAATATTTCATCTACGTTTTAACAGTGAATGAAAAACCTTTTAACGCCTACAGTTCCACGACGATGAAAGGCTTTTAATAAAAGTCTCCGACAGAGGAGGCTTAGAGAGGACGAGCGAACCCCGCCCAGCGGCTCCAAGGCCGGAGAAGCCAGAAACAAACAACTCCGCCCCTGCACCGCCCCGACGCGGCTGCCGGGGTTCCAGCAGAAACTAGCCATTTTCCCCCGTGCATACGCGGGTGTCTCCCTAGAACGCCACCGACCCTGGAGGGATCTTCTTCCTCGAGCCCGGGGCTGCGCTTTGTCCCGCTCCCCCCCCCCCCCCGCCCAACTGCACCCGCCGCGCCCGGGGCTTTGGGGACCTCTTCTCGCCCTCCCCCTGGGACCAGCGCCAGGAAGAAAAGCCTGACCGAGTCACACATACACCGGGGCCGCCTTTCCCTGCCCCAGATCCTGTCGTCACCGACAGACGGGCTGCTCGCGGCTCGGAAGGGCTCAGATAACAAGGACTCGCTCGGCGCCGCCTTTGTTCTTCCCCACGGTTCTGCTGCGCCCCGGGCGCAGTCCTGGCTGCGCTCCCGCACCCGCACCCGCACCCCGCAGCGAAGGGTGGCGGCCGGGCTCGAGGATTTGGGGCAGCGAAGCTACACCTCGCAAACAAAGCATAAAGGCTGACCCTTACCCAAAGAAGCTGTAAAGGAAAGAGGGCTTCAGGTTTTCCCAGCAGATCTTGGGGGACTGACCCCACCCAAGGGCCACAAAGAGCCAGAGAGGAAGATTCTTACCATGGTTGCTGCTTGGCGGCTGCCGGGCGGATGGCGGAGAAGAGGAGAGGTTGTTGCTTCTTACAGCGCGACTCTTAGGCGGTCGATGTAAGAGAACCTGCGGCACATGGGCGGATGCGGCTCCCTATATACAACTCGGTCACCATGGGGATGGGCTGGGGCCTTTTCCTGTTGGTCCAGACCCCCTCAATCTGCCCGGAGAAGTCACGACAGGAGAGTGGTGATTGGTGCAAGCAACATGGGATGAGGTAATCTCTCCCCCACCCCTTTTTCCCTAGCATCCATAGACTGTTTGCATCCTCCAGACAAAGAGACTGTGCAAAAACAGTCAGCCGAGCATCCATGATGGGGTGGGGTTGGGGGGCGGGTGGAGAAAAGAAGAAAGAAAACTTGAATTGGATGATTTTGCTATTGCTTAAACCTCACACTTACAGTTAAAATCACCAGTGTAGGTTTTTTTCTTTCTCCAACACTTAGATCGCAGAATTTGTGTTCACGTGAAATATTTGATGAAAAATTACTCCCAGCTCCTCTCTCAAAACAAAGTATACTAAGTTCTACCACATTCGGTTAGGCTTCAACGTCTCTAATTGCTTTATAGATAAAGTAGGAGAAAAGATGGGAATGATGCTTAAAATGGCTTGGGTGCATGTGATTTTTTTTTTTAATATAAAAAGAAGGTTCAGTAATAGAGCCATCCAAAATGGCTTTTCAGGTTCAAGTAATTTATCTTCAGACCTTCTGTTGCACCCCTCCCCCAAATAGCTAAACAAAAGGGAGGATGGAAGAAAACCATACTAAATATGGAAGCACACAAGTAGTTCTAACACGGTGATAATTAAGATCTAAGAAACCTACCGTAGTTAAATAGTCTACTAGAAATACTCTTTTAACCAGAAGTCTGTGTGATTACTATATTTTATGTAGTGTATTATTCCTTATGATGAATCATCTTTCCTGATAACAGAATTGAGAAAATACAAGGAGTTCAGAAACTAGTTCTAGTACCTGTGCATGCAGTTATTCTCGGCATTGTTCTCCCCCCCCCCCTTTTTCTGGAAAGGAAGAGAATAACTATCATCAAATTTAAAAGGAGAGCTGTATAATGTAAGAAAGAAGACATTTTATAATTTTGTCTCCATCCACAGACAAGTTTGTCAGCTCGATAACTGCATTTCTTTTTTATGTAGTTCTTGTGTGAATTCAGTAAATCTTCTCAGAGATTGGACTTCTAACTGTGGGAATTGTAGACAGCCTCACACCGTTGCTATTCAACTAGAGACTCTGGTGGTTGCTCAATTGCCTCTTGGGACAAAAAGGCTTTGCTTTCAGCCCTAGGAAATGGATTGCAGTAACATTCTTTTGCTATTTAGAAAGGCTCTATTATCAACAAAGATGGGCTCTGCAGAATAAGACTCTGGACTGATTATCACCTGACGTTGCTAATGAAATTTCGGAGGTAAAGAAGTTCGTTATGACTACCGAAGCTGAAAATTATATTTTGGCAGGTGATTTTTATGTTCAGTTTTCAGCAACAGATTTTCAGGGTCTGCAGCACCATTTACAGTGCTCTGCAGAGCCCATTCATTCCTGCTGGGCTGGCAGGCAGAGCAGGCGTGGGAGGGAGGGACTTGAAACAGCTGCTGCAGGTTGTGGTGTGACAATGGCTGCCGTGGATTTTTCTAGTCTGCTATCCATAGCTCTGCTTTACTTGTTCAAATTTGCTGCAGTAGTCTCCCTAGAAAAAATAAAACCCGGCACACATATCATATTTATCTACTTCTTGCATATTTTATAGGAAAGATAATCTTCAACATCATCTTATCTCCATCCTTTTAGCAAATAAAAGTATATTTCAGTAAAAAGACAGGAGAATTAAGGACAACTCAAATATTTCCTCACCTAGAAGTACATTTAATAAAAATAAGAATTAAATGGCATTGGGGAGTATAAGGATTTATAAGTAGCTCATTGAAAATACTTCTTATAAAATTGTAATAAGTCAAATAAATGAAACACTACTGGACCATGGCAAAGTGTACAAATCTTTCCTTATGGAATGAGAGGCAGTCTTGAATTTTATTTTCTTTGCAATATAAAAGAAATATGTCATTTCCCCAATAGTCTCAGTTCTTTATGCAGTTACAGAGGATTAAATAAAAGAGAGGCGTGTTCATGCAATTGATTCTTTGTAATTCTATCTCAGAGCTATTCTGTTCCTTATGCAAATGAGGATTTTTCTTCTCCTCTTGAGCATAAGTAACAATAAGATCTAGGTCAGAAATAGATTATTTGAGCACTGATAATCTTAAAAGTATAAATGGTAGAGCACGGGGGAAATAACTAATCTATTCTTTTTTCCCTCATTATCTGACTTACTAGCATGTGGACTATTAAAAATTTTTTTACTAGTTCACCTCTTATTTTTTCCTACCAATCTCTTTAGCTTACATAAATATATATCTCTAAATATTCTACTAATAATTCATTCGTGTCCACTGTAAGATTAGCATAAAACATCCTTTCTCTTATAATATTTGTAGAATTTAAATTATTTGTGTGTCTACACCCCTTCTCCATTAAAGTGTGAATCCTAGTCCCTGGCAAAGTGCCAAGCATACACTAGACATTATATATATGTTTGTTGATTTAAATGAACGGTTTCTCTTTGTGCATATTTTCACTAACTACTCTAACGCCTAGTAATTTAAAGGTATTTAACCAGTATTTTGCTTTTTTTTAAAAAAAAATATTTTATTTATTTATTCATGAGAGACACAGAGAGAGGCAGACACAGGCAGAGGGAGAAGCAGGCTCCATGCAGGGAGCCTGATGTGGGACTGAATCCCAGGACCCCAGGATCATGCCCAGGGCCAAAGGCAGGCTGCTAAACCACTGAGCCACCCAGGGATCCCCAGTATTTTGCCTTTTTTATTCAAAAAGCATTTACTGAGTGTCTACAGCGAGCTCTTGACCATCCTAGATAATGTGAGTAATTAAGAGGTAGTAGCGTGGTCTCTTTTCTCTAGAGTCTTTCAATCTAATTGAAGAAGTAAAACAAGCACATGTATATAGGAGAATAGCATGTGTTTGTGTGTATAGGGAGAGGAGCTTTGTAGAATCCATTGCATGTATTATAACTTACGTAGGAAACAAAAAAGTTGTATAACACTTTTTTTCTTCTTAATTCTTCATCTCCTATTTATCCCTAAATCCATTCAATCTGGATTCTGCTCTTACCACCCCTTCGAACCAAATGCCCTCCATTGTTGTTGTAAATCCACTGGATACTTTTCAGTTCTTGTTGACCTGTGATTAGCTTTGTCACAGTTGATATCTCTTTCTTGGGACACTTTCTTCCCTTGTCCTCAGAGACTCTATATTTTCTGGGTTTCCCCCTTACATTTTTTTGTTTCTTCTCTGTCACTGCTGGTTCTTCCTCCTCTCCCAATTTTTAAATGTTGGCATTTCTCAAGGTTCAGTCCTAGATTCTTTCCTCATTTTATTCCATATGATCTTAGTCACTCCTAGTAGATGGTAAGTGCATTCGTTCCCAAGGCTTCAAATCCTTTTTATATGCCCATCAATTATTAACAACCCCTTTTAGTTCCAGATTGTGTAGTAAACTTCCGGTCTCTGGTAGAGTTTCCCACAGGTATCCCAAATTGAACTTTAGTTATCTTCTCATAAATCACCTCTTACAAGGTTCTCTTGCTCAGCAAATGGAGTAGCATACATTTGGTTTCTCAAATCAGAAATGAAAATTACTTTTGATATCTTCCTCTCCTTTTCTAACCACCATAAAATCAGTCTCTAAGTCCTGTCAGGTCTACTTCCTGAATCTCAAATCTTGTTCTTTTCTATCTCAACTGCCTCCATTCTAGTAAGTACATCATCTTTTACCTGAACGTCAGTGCTCTCCTAGATTTTCTATACATTTACTCTTTCTTACCCTTATTCATTTCAGTCTTCACACAGCCAAAGTGATCTTATGATACATCTCAGAGGGGCACTTAGGTGGCTCAGTGGTTAAGCATCTGCCTTCGGCTCAGGGTCCTGATCCCAGGGTCCTGGGCCAAGTCCTGCATCAGGCTCCCCTTGGGGACCCTGCTTCTCCCTCTGCTTATGTCTCTGCCTCTCCCTTTGTGTCTCTCATGAATAAATAAAATCTTAAAAAAAAAATACATCTCACAGATCATGTCACTCCACTGCTTAAAGCAGATCAATGGCTGCCTGTTAGTTTTAAGATGAAGATCTCAAATCCTTAATATGGCTGCTTTAATTCCATAATGGAAGTAAGTCGTATACTTAAAAATCTGTAAAAAGATATATTGATTTAAAATTGTGTTAAAATTCAGGTCATTTCCTGAGAGTTGATTTTGATAGGGAGGAGGGAAGCAAAGGGGTTATAAAAGCTAGATAGTCACTTTATAATTACTTGTTATGCTATAAAATTATGTTTTATTCATTTTTGTATTTATTCAATTCTTATAATAAAAAATTTAACAATATAAACCCATGAGTTCATAAAGATACCCCACAAAGGAAAAATAAAAATAGAAAAAAATGAATTAAAATAATAATCTGGGCACCCCGGGTGGCTCAGCAGTTTAGCGCCGCCTTCAGCCCAGGGCGTGATCCTGGAGACCCAGGATCAAGTCCCACGTTGGGCTCCCGCATGGAGCCTGCTTCTCCCTCTGCCTGTGTCTCTGTCTCTCTATGTCTCTCATGAATAAATAAATAAAATCTTAAAAAAAAATAATGATCTGATACCATTGTACCACTGGAAATAACTATGGCACCAACTCCATACTCTACACATTGGCAATCAAATAAAGATTTGAGGGATGCCTGAATGGCTCAGTCAGTTAAATGGCTCAGTCAGTTAAGAGTCAGACTCTTGATTTTGACTCAGGTTATGACTTCAGCATCATGAGATCGAGCCCTTGAGTAAGGCTCCATGCTGGGAGTGGAGACTGCCTAAGATTTTCTCTTTCCCTTCAGGAAAGAAAAAAGGGAAAAACAATAGATAAAGATTGTGACAAGACTCTTGATAATTGTTAAATTTTAATGATATGTATATGGAGTTCATTATACTCTTCTCTATTTTTGTGTATGTTTGAAAATTTCTTAATAAATTAAAAATTTCTTAATAAAATAAGTACTAAAAGGAGGAAATCGTGGTTGCTGAAGACAAATTTTATCCTGCTACCTTGAGTAAGTGCATTTCAAGAGAAGGAAATTTCAAGAGAAGGAAAAGGTCCTTTTATTAAGACTTATGGCTTATCATGGAAGCCTTCACTCCGAAAGGCAGCTTATAACCAAATGGGACAGGAGTAGAGTACTTTGAACAGGGAGCATAATATTAGCAAAGACATAGTATGATGATGCCTGTACAAGGGAGAGCAAATATGTTGTCTCAATTTGGGCATGCAAATGAATTGTGGGTGGTGTGTTATATGTGGGATGGGGAGATAGTTAATGCAGCATTTTGAACTCTGATCTGAAGAACGAGTTTGGGCTTGAGTCTATAGGCAGTGTGAAGCTTTTGTATTATAAAAAAGAGTAGATAACATTTTAATAAAATTAACACTAATTTTTATAAAATATTTATTTATTTGACACAGAGAGAGAGCACAAGAAGAGGGGAGCAACAGGCAGAGAGAGAGGGAGAAGCAGGCTCCTTGCCGAGCAGGGAGCCCAATGTGGGGCTCCATCCCAGGACCCTGGGGTCATGACCCGAGCCAAAGGCAGATGCTTAACCGGCCGAGCCACCCAGGCCTCCCCTATAAAATCAATTTATAAAATTAATCTGACAGCTAAGTGGAGTAGGAAAAGAGACTGGAGATAATGGCACCAATAAGGAAGTGATTGCAATAATCTAAACAGAAGTTCTCAGACTTCATAATTTGTGGAGATGGTTAGAAAGGGATAACAGAAGGGACTGTCCAAAGGAAGAATCTCGGTGGTGACTGGCTGAACATGAAGCAAAAAGGAGAGAGTAGAAATTAACCCTTAAAGTTTTGAACTTGGTGGGGGTGCCTGGGTAGCTCAGTTGGTTAAGCATCTGCTTATGCATCTCCATCTCTCTATTCCTTACCTTTGTCAGATTCTCCAAGTATGACCCAGAATTTTAAGTTATGCTGCTGAATGGGAAACACCATTGATGTGCATGGAGTTATGTTCAGCACATGAAAAGCCTTTCTATCTTTTTTCTTCTTTATTTTGAGAACTTTTTGTTGAAGGATATCATACACACATAAATGTTTACCAATCATAAATGTACAATTTGATGAATTTTTGCAAACTTAACATTATTACTAGTGTAACTAGCATGCAGATCAAGAAACAGAACATTATCACTATCTGAGAAGCCTCCTCCTGGTACCTCTACCCACTCACAATCTGCTGTAGAAGGTAATACCCAATGGGATGCCTGGGTGGCTCATTTGGTAAAGTAGCTGAGTCTTGATTTCCACTCAGGTCATGATATCAGGGTCCTGGGATAGAGCCCTATGTTTGGCTCCACTGCTGTGAGAAGTCTGCTTGAGATTTTCTATCCCTCTCTCCCTGCCCCTCCCCCCACTCACGACCCACTGTCTCTCAAATAAATAAATAAATCTTTTTTAAAAAGGTGATACACAGTGATTTATAGCACAATAGATTTGTTTTGTCTGTTTTTGAACTTTATAAAAATGTAATGGATTCTTTTATATATGGCTTATTTCACTTACTATTATGTTTGTGGTGCTTACTTCAGCAGCGCATATACTAAAATTGGAACAATACAGAGAATATTAGCATGGCTCCTTCGCAAGGATGACACACAAATATTATGTTTATGAAATTTAATCATACCATTGAATGTAATTGTAAATTGTTTTCATTGCTGTATAGTCTTTTATAGTATGAATACGCCATAATTTATTTATCCATTTCCTAGTGTTAGAGGATATTTGCATTATTTCTAGTTTTTGGCTAATACCAATGACATTGCTATAAGTGTTCTTATACCTGTGTTTGGATGAATATACTTACAGACTTCTGCTATATATATTTCTGCTGCTATATACCTCGGAATAGTAGAACTGTGGGGTAATAGGGCATGTATATGTTCAGCTTTAATAGAAAAACTGAATTTTCCCAAAGTTGTACACTCCCACTAGCAGTGCAGGAGAGTTCTGTTTCTCATCCTCCTTCATTGTAGCCATTCAGGAGAGTTCATAGTATGATATCCATCACATCGTGACTATTGAGGTTGACACCTTTTCATGTGTTTATTGTCCATTTGAATATCCTCTTTGGTGAAATGTCTGTTCAAGGCTTTTTCATATTTTTTCATGGATTGGCTGTCATTTTCTTAGTATTTGGTTGGAGTGCAATATATATTATGAATAAGAATCCTTTGTTGGATTTGAAGATTACAATATAACATTTTTTTTTCCCATTCTGCAACTTGCCTTTTCATTCTCTTAATGTTGTCATTTGATGAATGGAAGTTCTTGATTTTAAGTAGTTTTTATCCATTTTTTCTTTATTGTTAACATTTTTTAAAAGATTTTATTTTTCAGTGATCTCTGCATTCAACGTGAGGCTTGAACATACAACTCTGAGATAAAGAGTAGCAAGCTCTACCAACTAAGCCAGCCAGTCAGCTCTATTGTTATCATTTTTTTGGTTGCATTTAAGAAATCTTTGCCTATCGACAGGTCACGAATATATTCTTCTAAAGGATTTATTGCTTAAGCTTTTACTTTAGTTTCACAATACATATGGGAACTGATATTTGTGTGTGTGTTTGATGTGATGTAGAGATCAGATCTATTTTTCCCCCATATGGATATCCAACTGATCCAGCACTCTTTATTTATAAGACTATTTCCGCCCCCACAGGACTGCAGTGACATTTTCTTCATGATTTAAGGCACCATATGTATTTATGGGAAGCTTCCTCTCACTAGCTCATATATTTCAACTTTATTATTTTCTAAATTATTATAATCTTTTTTAACCCAAGTAATTAACTCATATGGATGATCAGCCCTATATGTTTCAAACATTTATTCATTTGTTTCTTCTTTTTGGAAACACATATTGGTTGTCTACTAAGTTGCATGTATTGGACCAGGCATAGTGCAGTGTAATTAGATGTTTATTTGGCTAAGATTTAATTAGATAAAATGCATTCTGATAAGTCCCAAGAAAGAAGCAAGGCATGATCCTGTGCAAGGAGATACCTATTACCTATAACCTCTAGATCTTTGGAGGATGGTGTGGTATGGAGAATGCAGGAAGTCTTCCTGGAAGAGGCAATTCTTGAGGTTGTCTTGAAAAATAAATAGAAGTAGCAGGTACAAATGGAGAAAAGAGTGCACGTGCAAATACAAGACAACTGGATTAGTTTCAGAAACTAAAGTGGAAGTGGTTTGTTATGGTTTGTTACATAAAGTGTAAGGAAAGGGGATTGGGGAGGCTGGAAGATTAGATGAAGAACTGATTGTGAGGGACTTTGTTTCAAACTCAATGAGAGCCATTAAAGGAAATAGGAATAATGAACTTTGCATTTCAAAAAGATACTTCTGACTGCAGCTATGTGCAGAAAGAAAAGATAGAACAGTGTTGAGGATCAGGGGTTATAATGCAGGAAGACTGGTTAGAAAATTGCTGATTAGTAGATGGTAAGATAGACTCAAGGAAATAGAAAGAAGTAGACATATTTGGGAAATATGTGGAAGATTGAGTCTAGAGCTGGTGATGTCTAGGAATCAGGAGCAATGAGCAGTGAAGGATGGCTCAGCTGGCTCCAGAGTTAGGCAGAACTGGCTTCAATTCTCCTTTCTGTCACAATTTAGCAAGGTTGGAAAGACCTTCTGGCTTTAAAGAATGTGTTGGAAGAGTTTGAGACTGAAAGCAAGGAGACTAAGTAGGAGGCTATTACAATCATTTAGGCTTTATGATAAGGGCTTGACTAAGACTAAAGCTATAGGGACAGAAGGAAAGAGATGGATTGAAAGGAGAGAAATGGATTGAGGAATATTTGGAAGGTAGACTTACCAGATTGAGAGCAGACTTAAAAAGAGCAAAGGGGGGGGGTGCCTGGCTGGCTCAGTAGGTAAAGCATGCAACTTTAAAAAATGTATTTGTTTATTTATTCGTTTGTTTGTTTGAGAGAGACACACACACACACATGCCTGCACACAAGGGATGGAGGAGGAGCAGAAGGGAGAGGGAGGGGGAAAGAATCTCCAGTAGACCTAACATTTAAGTGGGGAGCCCCATGTGACGCTTGATCCCTGGACCCTGTGATCATGACCAGAGCTGAAACCAAGATTAAGTTGCCTAACCAAGAGCCACCCAGGTGCCCCAAGTATGTGACTTTTGATTTCAGGGTTGTGGGTTTGAGCCCCATGTTGGGTGTAGAAATTACTTAAAAATGAAATCTTAAAACAAAACAGAAAAGGATTAAAAAAAAAGAAGAAGAAGTGTCAGAAAAAGAAAAGAAGGAGGGGCACCTGGGTGGCTCAGTGGTTGAGCATCTGCCTTTGGCTCAGGTTGTGATCCTGGGGTCCGAGGATTGAGTCCTGGATCAGGCTCCCACAGGGAGCCTGCTTCTCCCTCTGCCTATGTCTCTACCTCTGTGTGTGCGCGTGTGTGTCTCATGAATGAATAAATAAAATCTTAAAAAAAGAAGAAAAAAAGATAAAGAAGGACTGGCCAAAAGAGAGAGAAAAGCAGAAGATATTGATGTTACAGAAAGGAAGGGCAGTATCAAGTAGAGTGCTGAGTAATATCAAATACTGCAGATGAGTTGTTAGTAAGGACAGAGGAATGTTCATTGGATTTAGCAACAAGGAAATAAGTATATAATAAGTAAGACTTGGCACAAAATACATAAAACATGTTTCTGGGCCCAGAGGAGTTCAAGGTCCAATCCAATGATTGAAACTGTTACTACAATACATTATGTCAAGTGCTATGAGAGAGAAGACAGTGCAGGAGCTGCCAACACAAAGAAATGTGTTACATTTCCCAACTTCTTCCCAGTTTAGTGTTCACTGTCTCACGCCACACCATTGCCTCTATATCCTTTGTGAAATGATCATGCCTATCTGTCTCACACTGCCCTTCCTCATGCACGTTTGAGTGTAAAAGGATAAATTCAAGCAGGTAGGTTTCTCTTAAATTCTCTAACAAAAACACATCTCAAACTCTAAATTTAAACAAGGAGATGGACAAGATTATGATGACGTGGTGAATTTGCAGTTGTCTTTATTTTTTTTAAGATTTATTTATTTATTTTATGATAGACGTAGAGAGAGAGAGAGGCAGAGACACAGGAGGAGGGAGAAGCAGGCTCTATGCCCAGTTCCCGTCACGGGACTCGATCCCAGGACTCCAGGATCGCGCCCTGGGCCAAAGGCAGGCGCCAAACCGCTGAGCCACCCAGGGATCCCCAAGTTGTCTTTACTTTAGGGCTCAGTACTGATCAATGTAATGAGTGATTTGGTTCTCACTATGTATGGCCTTTACAGACTATCTGCTGTATTCACTTTGGCCAAATTCTACTGTTAACAGTTTAGGTAAGAATATGACCCACCTCTGAATTCAGAATTTTATTGAAAGCTTAACGTCATCTTTCTCAAACTCTGGTCAACACACTGGAGTATTATTAAATAATGTTTTTTTTTTCTGGATAACAATGGTAAGAATTATCAGTGATTCTGGTAACTGAGTTTCATCTATTTTGGGAAGGACTTTTGTGTGTATAGCAGAGAGAAATATTAATAAATTTCTATTTCAGAAGTAAGACTTACGATATAACACAAACACCTGTACTCTGTAACATTAGAAACCTATCTCTGGCATTGTGATACAAGGCTTTGAGGTTAGTCATTGATGTTCAGTCACTTACTGAAACACTCTTTTGAACAACATATTTATGTCCTGAGATGCATATTTTAATTTGTAATTTTGCTCTGACATGTTGGGAAGGTGGTTCTCCTAAGCGTATTGATGAAATCTGACTTTTGGAAAAAGGGTACAAAATCTGAAGAGGCTCAAAGGCATCCTGGGAAGAAAAGAAAGAGAAAGAATTGGAGAAGACAGTAGATAATCTCTGTTTTCCATAAAATGCAATTTATAATATGATTGCACTTCATTAACTCAAATTACACACACTCACAAGAATGCACATTGAACTGTTTTGCTTCCGTCTTTCCCCTCCTTCCCCTTAAAGCAGATGGAAATTAGGTGGCAGACTGGGAAGGTTGCCATGGTGCACTGGCTACAGGGATTTGATATTAGTCAAAGGAAGCTCCTGAGTCCCCTCCCCCAACCATCCAAATGTGCGTTTCTCTTTTTTCTTTCAAATTCTTGTCTATAATTCATATTATAGGTAAATCAGGGTGAGATTGATGTACTAGTGGACAACAGAATAGATGCATTGATGTTGTAAGAAGTAAAATACTCAGGAATTATAACTGGTCCATTTTTATGTAGCACTAGCCACACAAAAAGTTAGAATTCATTTTTAAAATGTCTTATACAGGGAAGCCTGGGTGGCTCAGTGGTTGAGCATCTGCCTTTGGCTCAGATTGTAATCCCGGGGTCCTGGGACTAATTTTCTAAAGCTTGACCAATTTTATTAGTCCAAAAGGGGCTAGTTCAAGGGGAAGTGGGTGGATTATTTAGGACTTGGTCTTTGAAGCTTCTTCTTTAAGTATTGCATATATAAATTTAAGAGCCAAAATAGTAGAAGATAACCCTTTTGTAACATACTAGAATCATCCTCTATACTAGTGTTTCCTAAGTGTGCCAAAGTAACTAGGATGCTAGCTAAAAATACTGATTTT